TTACATCTTTTTAAACAGCACACCGAACACTATCACCCATCGCACACAAAAATATACTTCACACATAGGCGATTCTCCTCACGATTTTATCGATTGTGCATCGATGATGCACGATATACTCCACAATGATCAAAACTGGTCGCGTCCGGGGAAATGTTAAACGAGGATAAACGAGGCAGGTATATAAAGCTGATAATAAGAAGGAAGGGAGTGGTGAAAATTATCGAAGCGTCGAAGGGATGGTGGTTGGAAGCGGACCGTCCTTAAGGGCATGGCACGCGAGCCATCATGGTCGATAAATTACCAGGTCTCGCCGCGGTGTTTCCGCGTGACACGAAAGCCTCTTTGCCGAGGGAAAGAAGGTTGTTGGCGGAGCGAAGGAGGAAACGCGGAGGAAAGGAGGAAAGGAGGAAAGGACGCGGCACCGGATAAAAGTTGCCATGCGACACAGAAGCAGTCCGCGATGGTGTTGGCGCGCGTTTGCCGAGTGATGCATTGGTACCGGCAAGTGATATATGCTTATGGGGCATGCCGGAGTATCCGGACATCACGCGCACACGCATGCGCGAGACCGTGTAAGAGATACACGTGTGCCCGGCTATAGCGTGTTCATTATGCACTCCGGCAAATCATAAAACAGACGAGGGGGAAAAAGAGATTCGAGACGAATTTTCACATCTGGAATATAAGTGTTCTTCAAAACGGAACGTGAAGATGAGAATGAAAATTTTATATGGTTTAAGTTAAGTTGGCTCAACGACAAGTTATTTGAATAATTTATTCAAAACGGTTATTTGCAGCGAACAACGACGAGGTTAGGAGTCAACTGTACGGTAGATTTTTTATAAGGCTTGTATAAGGTTAATACGTTGCAATGAATTCTATGAAAAATCTAGGGAAAATATGGAAAATACGACAATTTTTATAATAATATGAATAATATAGAGTAATATGTTTGATTATTGTCAACTTTTTTCTCTTTGATATACGTCAAATGGGATAATTTTAAAAATAAAAACAACAGGTATGTATACTATTGATTGAAAAAAAAAAGCGTTATAGAAATTGCTTTATACGGAAACAATAGTGACAATATTTTTGGCATTATAGAAATGTTATGTGAAAGTGTATAGATATCAATAAATGTTATTCGAACATTTTAAATAATTATTCGAAATTCTAATTAATTTTTCAATCCATTAATGACCAACTTTGATCGAAATAAAGATTTATCGCGATAAAGAACTGTTGTGAAGCGAGATCTGGCCGAGTAAGATAATATATCGTTTTAATGATCATTTTTTAAATTCCAGCAATGTCCAAGCCTGGTCTGAACACGACGAAGGAATGGTGGAGAACCCACACGCGTGAGTGGATTTTTCCAATCGATATGATTTAAATGGCGTTTTAAGAAAGCTGAAGACCACGGGGGAAAAACGGACGAGCCGGTGTTCGACTCAAATTGTAATTTATACGGCTATTACCGTGCCGCACGTTCGCCATTATAAATTGTCGCGCTGTATCTGCCGGCGTTCTTATTTATAGTTCCGTAAATAAATACCCGAGATAATGCGCCGCGGCCGGCCAGTGTATTTGCGATTCTAATAAGTGTGCATTTAACGCGATGTATTCGGGTAAACCGCGAATGACGCATTGCGAGGGTAATTAAGCAATTACGGGAATACAATGTTGTTGTCGCTCAGGAAGAATGAATGTTCGCGTACCCTCCTGGAATTGTAATAACTCGTAGAGATCTTTCTTTTCTTTTAGAATGTAAGTCTGTAAATATTTTATCAAATATACATCATTAATCAATAAGTGTTTTTTTAAATTTAAAAAAAGAAAATTTTACAAATTTGCCATCCGACATGTAACATGTTTGTTCGTCGAATTGTACACGTCAAGATGTATGTGTATGTATATCTGGTCATTTCGTAGAGCGCGTATTAACACTGGCAATTCAACAGTGTAGTAATTAAACGGCAAAATGAATAGAGAGAGTGAAACGAGTGCGGAATACTCAGCAACAGAGTGATTTCATTGCGAGAGTGCGTGTCCTTTTTTTTTTCTTTTTTCAGTAAAAAGGAGTGTATCCTCTCATTCCAATTTGAAAATCCACCCGTGGTGGTTGTCCACATGTCTGTTCTAACTGATTCATACGCGCGCATTTGCATTACGGACGCGTCCCCGTCGAGCGACACGACACGTTATTCGAAACGTGTTGCATTATTCTAATCAAGATCCCTAATACCGACGCTAGTTTTTGCTTTTATTCGCACGTGGGCAATGCGGCTCGTTTGTACTCGTAATGAGCCCGATTGGGTGTTATACGTCGCCATGGTTGATTCTACGAACGGTTTCGAACGAATCTTTTCATTCGAACAAATCTCTTCTCTTCCTCGATCACAATTATTATCTCGTTATTATCTCATCGAATTATTATCACATCGAGTTTTATTATTGTAAAAGTTAATACACTTATCTTCAATCGGTATATCCGTTTAAAGATACAATTGTTATAATTGATCAATTAATTAATAACTGATTGTTACACTATTTTAAAAATATATTTCACGATAAAATCATATGTACAAAATATATGCTCTAGTTAAAAATTGTCAAAATTGACTCATAGATTTTCTAAATCGAAACAATTGGCAACTTGGAACAAGTTGGATAATTTACAACACACCTATCAAACGCGTATGATTAAGAAGATCGAATTCACTACTTGTTAAAGTGCTTCTGTCTAACATTATACGAAACAACATCAATTCCCTCTTTCGAACTGTTCCTGAACATCGTAGATCCATTAATCACCACTTAGAAATCATTTTTCAATACGCATCGATCAATTTATTGATAGCAGCAAGATCGATACGCGATCGCCGCCTCCGATAAGTCTCGTCGACAAGGGCGAGGAACTCTGATTTACTGGCGACCCTATAGCATGGTGATCGAGGAGGAACGAAGGTGGCAAAGGAATGGACGAAGAGAGAAGAAGCGTCGAACGTGGCAAGAGCAACGGGAAAAATAGGAAAGCGCAGAAGGCGGCGGCAGCAGCTGAAGAAGGAGGAAGTCAAGACACGCGTGTAACAAGCGTCGTTGGCATTAATTTAGAATGAGCTCTACGACCCTATGCAAATCTCTCGTGTACAGGAAATCCTAAGAAGCCGACCAGACTACGAAACGTCGCCTCTCTCTCTGTGCTCATCCACGCCGTTTTCTTTCAGCCACGGCATGTTTGAAATTACCATCAACCAGCGTACGACTTATTCCTCGGTCTCCGATAACACGTTACTCTTCCTTCTTTTAAGTTATGACACCTGAACTCTTGCCAACGTTTAATATCCCGCATCTTGCGATATCAACACTTCCGTCTTTAGCTTATAACTTATGGCTATGATGAATCGAATTATTCGCCGCTACTTCTATAAGCGTGTTCAGTAATCAACGATTTTGCTGTAAACATTGTCGATAAAGATAAATTAATTGAACAAAAAAAAAAAAAAAAAAAAAAAA